AAGATACATACAAAGTTATAAGTGCTTTAATGAAAACATTCCATCTAGTTATTATTATTTGAGAGAAAATTAGATTTCAGCTGTGGCTCAGAGTATAGTCTGCCACTCATTTAAGTGATTTATTTTCAGGCACAGGCAGCCCTGGTTACAAAACTTCCTTGCTGCTCTACATGTAGATGTAACTCCTGAGAAAAAATATTTAACAGAAAACCAAATCTGAGCCGGTACTGAAGTGTTACCTCCTCACAGCAGATCCCTCCTTCAGATTTTTTCCCACTGTCTCCAGAGTAATTTAAAAGTTCACATGCATCACCTTTCAAGCTCTTGCTCTAACATAAGAAGCAACATTGCTGCTCAATGAGACTTTCCTTGCCAAAATGCCTAGCAGTGAAGCCCTGCTTGGAGAAGGGACGTGTACTCCTTATTTCTTATATCATGTGGAGTTCTGATTCACACAGCAGTTCAGTCTCACCATACTTTACAGCCAGGACAGATTTTTTCCTTCATTAAGCACCGAGGCTGCTCCTTGCCAGCCACAGAGCAAGCACAGGCAGAAGGAGATGGCCAGCACAGCACAAGGTCAGGAATGCAGACCATCTCCTAGTGCTAAATGCTCTCAGCTCTCAGAGATCAAAATGACAACCTGCAGGACCAGTGTATTAACTGCAAATGGCAGAACATTAAGAACAAAGCAAGCAATACAAGAATTTCTGCAATATTCTTGCCAAACAGGTTTCAGAGCTTGTTTCTGCCAGGCTTTATTTCTGCACTCAGTGCTGATGATGGCTGGTCCTCACACCATGTCAGGCAGCTGCTGGCACACGGGATGGGTAATAAAATACTGGCCATATTAAATTCAGTTGATTGTCCAGTTGCAATAAACCGATGCCAAAGTTAATTTTCGTGGTTTACACAGATATTTATTTTTTTTAAATACAGGAAGGAGTGCTCTTGATCTTGCTCAAGTACTTGAAGATGCTACAATAATTGAACTGCTTGAAAATCAACTGCAAATTTTGGCAGAAGAACAAGAAAAAGAAGAAGCAAAGACTGCAAAAGGTGGGAAGCCAAAAGCAGCAGAGCCACCGAAACCTGTGAAGAAGGAGGTATGAGGGATGGCAACAAAGGACTGACTTGCTAATAGCAGGGAGCTTCCTTCCTTCCTTTCTTTGCCACCCATTCCTCTCCAATGCTGTAACTTGGGCAGCTTTGTTAAAGTGAGTATTTTCAGATGCCCATACTTGTTCTTGTATTAGAACTTGTTCACTGGCTGAAATTTGTCTTACTAATTAGACAAACTTCATGCCTTCCCCAGACACACATCAGAATGATGTCCTGTATCACTACTGGACACAGAAAAGAATTTCCTTTTCTTTTTCTCTCCTCCTGAAGTATATGCTCATCCAGCTCTGTTTTGGTAAACACTGAACAACCGGTAGCCATAATTTCTCAAAGGGAGAACCTCTTTTTTCACAAGATAAAAGCAATACCCTTCAAACTGGTTAAAAGGTTTTTTATTCTCCTAGTTGAACTCACTGAGACAACACCAGGCTTGCTAACTTCCTATTTGCCATTTTGTCCCATATCCTGTTTCTCAAATCCCACACTGATGTTTGCCTGTTTTATTTCTGAATGCTTTTCCTGCACCCTCTGGGAGTCTTGAGCACCTCAGCATTGCCCTATTCCCAAGCTGACACCAGCCTCCGTGACCACATCCTGGCTCTCCTACTGTGGATGAGACCTTCCTGATTGACCAGTGGTACTTCAGTCACATCCAGTGTGCTATTTAGGGACAAGATGAAATTTTATCTGCGTGGCTGGAGGTGTCCTTCAGCTGCCCTGGACAGTGCAGTAAATATGTGCCAGTAGCTAAATGTTGGCATCCCCTTTGCACAAAGGTTTTGAATGTCTGGGACAGCACAGGACTTTCAGAGGGAGGAGGATAAGAACCTTAGGTGCTTGTTGATTCCTCGCTTGGAAGAGGATGGGATCACCAGTGGTACAAGGTGACTGTCTTGGGAGTCACAAAGAGCAGTTAATGTTTTGGTGCCCAAGGAAGAGAGGTGCCTTTTACCTTTCAAAAGGTTGGCCCTTGCAATTTTTGATTTTAAAAAATCAGCTTTGACAGAACCAGGTTCTGAAGAGATTAAGAAAAATGCTTGCCCAGTAAACATCATAGCAGAGTATCAGAAGATGCAGGATGCATGCCTTGCTTCTGAACATGATGTATTGGTATAATTGGTACCTTCTTCCCCTTCAGTCTCCAGATGTGTCTCCACCACCTGAGGAAGAACCTGTTCCTGAAAAGACAAAGCGTTCCCGTAAGGACAGTTCTGCTTATTGGAAATCTTTGGCAGCGAGAGAAGACAAAAATGACATCTCCTTCAGACCCAGAAAAGTACGTACAGCAGCAAAACATGAGTGCAGTTCCATGGTAACTTAAAGGTGGACCTTGCTGAGATCAAAACCCAGAACAATCCAATGACATTTCCAGCATTCAGCTAGCTTTGAGATGATGTGACACAGCCTGGAGAGGGTGCCACCAAACAAGAGTAAAGAGTTCCTGGATGTATATTATATAATTACACAAATATAGATATAAAACAAATATTTGTGGAAATCAATCCCTTATCAGATTTTAAAATTGGATTAAAGGGGAGCCAGAGTAAAACAAAAATGCAACTACATTTATGACATGTATTTTTATATTCTGCTTTTAAAAGATAGGTGTCTATTTGCATAGCATGGGCACCAACTTCTAACTTGCCCTGTTGATTAGTTATCACATGATGACTTCTGGCAGTGACAGTTACTGAACTAGATGGATCACAGCACACTAAATAATTGCTACCTAGAGTTGGAATAGTGGAAATATAACCTTTGTATCAACCCTTTGTCACGGTCTTGTTAATACATGCTTAGAAACAACTGAGAAACAGAACAACATAATCACAGTGAGGTAATTTTTGTAATATTTTTTTCTCTTTAAAAAGGAAAAAAACCCCACTGCTGGCTGAGCGGTTGTGTTTGGAGTTTGTTTATCATTTCTCTAACCCTGATTTATGCTAGTTTCTACAATGGTCTCAGAGGACTGAGGCTACATAGCTGATGACTCTACAGCTAATTACTATTTTCCACTCTGAGGATTGTGAGCCCGAGTCAGTAATTTTAAATAATTACCTTAAGATCTTCTTTCCCACATTATCTGTAATCGGAGTCCATGGCATGATATAGATTGGAAGTGACAACAAGAGAATGCTCTGTTTATACACACACAGATTGCTGACCTCTCCTCTGCTGGGAGGCCACACTGCTTCTTTTCTGTGTCTCATAGTGGAAAGCAGTGCTAGAACGTGGCTCTCTTTGGCTAACAGTATCCTCTTAGTGCTTCTGTTGCAAAAGGCCCATCCAAATTAACTCCACAAACCTTTATTTTGTAGATATGGAGCCCTGATGCCACAGCAATGCAGCTTGCAGAAAAGCGAGAATGGCTCCGTGAACGTGCTGCTCTTTGTGGTCACATGGAAGATTTTACAACCCTCTTCAATAGAAAATTTAAGGAATAAGCACAGCAACTGGAAAAAGCTACTTCAGCTCATGTTTTGAGGGGACAAAGATGTAAAAGGCCATTCCTTTGCAAGGAAGCAATCGTTCAGTGCTCAGTAAATGTACCTCGGTTACCATAAAAGAAAATCTTATCAAGTTTTTTCTCTATAGCACCTGTTGCATTCCACAGCAGCAGACAGTTGTTGTTTACATTTCTTTCCTGAGGCTCCTCAGCTTCCCAGGAGGGAAAAGTCTTAGCAAATGATTTTTCATAAAATATTATGGCTACACTCCCACCACCTCCTGGGCAGCCCATTCCAAGGCTAAGCCTTTCCATGAAGAAATTCCTCCTAATGTCCAACCTGAATATGTCCAACCTCTTCATCCTCCAGGTAATTTTTCCTCAGCTCTTCCAATTTGCCAGATGGGGTTATTTACAAACATTGTTCTGGGGCATCCAAAAATTACATCATGTTCATTGTTCCAAATTTTTTTGCTTCTAGCTTCTTTCTAAGAGATTTATCTTGCTCCATCACTTCCTGAATGACCAATTGAAGCAACTGATTAATTTTCCATTCCCTCTGAATCACTTCTGGTTCAGCAGCTCCCAGTGAGCCTTCGTGAGAGCTGCAAAGCTTTCACCAATAATGACCCTCTGAGGGTTGTCCTGACTTCTGGAGAAAAAGGTTCCAGCAGGTCTGGAGCCCCCTGCTCACTGCACCAGAGCCAGGGGAGCCTGTCTGTGATGCCAGTTTAACATTGTGACCCACGTCTGCAGCAAGAACTGAAGTTCTTGTTAACAGATCCCTCAGGGGCAATCAGAGCAAAACAACACTGAATGACCAGTGTGTGATTTTTATCTGCCAGCATAAAACTTCTGCTGGCTGCAGATGATTGTAAATAACCAAAATAGTAGAGCTTCAGTCAAGTCATAGAAGGCAGTGTGGGCAAGGAGCCCATGAACAATTGTAAATGAAACTGCATCTCTGAAAGAAGGAGAAGCAAAGGGGCAATTTGCTGAACGGTCATCAAAATAAAATCAAGCAGCAGTCAGAAATTATATTGTAAGGTAAAACTGTGTTTCTGGCAGAGCTCTGTCATGGAGATTACCTAGGACAGTTCACAGCCTTCACATTTCCAACAAGGCTTTTCCTGGTTCTTAGTACAAGGTTGAGCAGCCCACCATTCCTTGTGGGATCCTTCATTACCTGTGTCAGGAAGGGATCATCAAAGCTTTCCAGGAACCTCCTGGACTGTCTGTACTTTGCTGTGCTGCCTCTCCAGCTGTCAGTGTGATTGAAATGCCTCACAAGAGGGGAGAACCAGGACCTGTGTATTGAGGCTGCTTTGAGCATCCTGCATTGTGGCATCACAGTGGTGATGGAATAAGGAGGCTGAGTCCTGTGCAGGACACCCACTGCAGGACATCCGTAAGGGATGGGGGAATAGGAAAACCTGCTTGGCCTGGAGGAGGCAGAGTCACCCACAGCTCCCCTGGCCGTCAGACTGGCCCGGGACAGTGTGACACAGAGCAGCACTGCAGGCACACAGCCCCTCAGCCAGGGGCAATTCTTGAGCAGCTGACACCCCAGCTGCCCCTGGCCCAGCAGGCCAAGGCCAAGGCACAGCAGGGCTGTGGAGTGCAGCTGGGATGCTGGCCGAAGGCTTGGCAGGTCCGGAAATGCCATGGCAGGATCCCCAGACTTGGTGAGGCAGAGGCAGACAGGTCAGCACATTCTCCCCCTCCCTGCCCACCCCATGGGCCTGGGGACAACGGGCTCAGGTGGGGCTGTCCTCACAGGGCAGGTGGCAGCTGCCAACATCGGCCAGCACGATGGCCAGCAGCACGCGGCCGAGTCTGAGCGGCTCCGGAAGGCCAGGCTGCGCGTGGAGAAGGCCATTAAGGTGAGGGCTCGATTTCACACTGCCCCGGGATGGCACGTGCCTGCGCTGGTGCACCTGTGCTCAGGTGGGCAGGCTGAGCTCGCTGCTGTCCCGCAGGAGAAGAAGATCTTCACAGTGCACGGCCCTTACCCCGTCATCCGCCGGCTGCTGCGCGCCCGCGGCTGGGTGGAGAGGAAGCTGCCCCTCAATGGCAAGCAGCTGAAGCAGCAGCCTGGCGACCAGAGGAAACAGCAGCCGGAGAAGAGGGCAAGTGGTGGCGGTGATGAGCAGGGGGAGGCAGGGCTGAACCCACATGGTGGGGCACAGCCTTCCTCGGGCACCGCAGAGCCTCTGCAACACCCATGTGGCACAGCACACGATAGGGAGAACAAGGGGGAAAGGGAAGATGAAGACAAGGAGGAAGACCAGGAGCAGTGCAGTGAGGACTCTGAAGACATCCATGACCTCATGGTTAGCTAAGAGGGCTAGAGCTGAGCTCTGCCACAGCTCCCCACGTCCTCCCCAGGGACCCTCAGGGGCAGGGCTCAGCCTGGAGCTCCCTGGCTCACCCCAGCCCACTCCCTCCCGCAGTCCTTCCTGGTGCAGGACCAGGTGCCAAACTTCCTCTGGACCATTCGCCTGAGCAGCGTTGACCAGGAGCTGCTGCCGAGGATTGAGGTGGTGAACCGCTATCCCCGGCTGGCCGCGCTTTGCACCAAGGTGGGAGCACGGGGGCCTCAGGGAGGGGGCACAAGGGGTGGAGGGGTCCAGAAGGGAATGACAAGCTTCTCTAAACAGGAGGGGCTGTGCCAAAACCTGCAAAACTTGTCCTGGTTTGAGCAAATAGACTTCAACACCTTTTTCCCCCGGTGCTACCGGCTGGGGTTCATGGACGAGGAGCAAGCCTTCACTGGTGAGCGTGGGGCTGCTGCTCCCCTGTCACTCCTTGTGCTCCAGTCTTCCCATGTCCTGTGCAGGACTGGCTAGGGATGATGCTTGCCTCTTGCAGAGGATTTCCGCCTGACAGCAGCTCGCAGCCTTCTCAAACTGGCCCTGCAGAAGGTCGGGGACAGGCCCGTGGGGACAGAGCAGCTCCCAAAACCCGACGAGGTGCCAGGTGAGTGCACAGAGCTGGCTAAGAGGGGTGGAGGTGAGTTCAGGGTGTGTCTGAGGGCTGAGCTTGGCAGCTGAGCCTCTGCTCATGTCTGTGGCTTGGGATCCCTTACTCCATCCCCTGCCCTGGCTCCAAAGGCACCCGTCCCACAAGAAGGCTCAGTGCTTCAGCCCCAAGGCTGGCGTAGGAGTCATGAATCTCACCCCATGCTGTCCACAGCAGGGCCGCGCTCCCCCCTGTATCCCCAGCTGGTGGAGGAGGCCCTGAAGGTCTGTGAGCAGCACCTGGGAGTCCTGAGGCACCAGGACATCGACAGGAACACCCCATCGCCCTGCCGCACATGCATCGACTGGGACCGCTTCCTGCTGGAATACTACCGTGTGGCACAGTGGGTGCTGAGCGGGACGGGCAGGGGGCGGTGGTGGGGCCGGTGCTGACCCCCTGTGTCCCCCCACAGTGAGGGGACCGGGCTGGTGCTGGGCAGGGAGCAGCGGGAGCGGTGCCAGGACCTGCTGCAGCGGCTGGAGGAGAAGCTGCCGCAGCTCGGCATAGAGGGCAACCTCAACATCTGGATCGTCAAGCCCAGCGCCAAATCCCGCGGCAGGGGTAGGCTGGGGAAGCATGGGGCACAGACCTCCCCGCGGAGGAGGGATCTCAGCATCCCTGTGTTGCCCAGGCATCATGTGCGCCACGCGGCTGGAGGAGGTGCTGGAGCTGGCGCAGAGCTGCACGGGCCCCCCGGTGCAGATGTGCGAGTGGGTGGTGCAGAAGTACGTGGAGCGGCCGCTGACCATCTTCAACACCAAATTCGACATCCGGCAGTGGTTCCTGGTGACTGACTGGAAGCCACTGACTGTCTGGTTCTACCGAGACTGCTACCTGCGCTTCTGCTCCCGGCCCTTCTCTCTGTGTCACCTGGAGCCGTGAGTGTCCCCCCCTCACCCTGGCTCACACTGCCCAGCCGCCGGCACCCCTGACCCAGCCCCGCTCTCCCTGCCCCAGCGCCAGGCACCTCTGCAACGTCTCCATCCAGAAGCGGTACAAAACATCACAGCCGGACCCCCGCGTGCCCCCCGACAAGATCTGGTGCAACAAGCAGTTCCAGGCCCACCTGGCACGCCTGGGGCGGGCGGGTGCTTGGCAGCGGGTGACGGTGCCCGGCATGAAGGCGGCGATCCTGAACGCCCTGCGCTGCACCCGGGACCAGGTGGGCTCCCGCAAGGGCAGCTTTGAGCTCTTCGGGGCCGACTTTCTCATCGGGGAGGACTTCCAGCCCTGGCTGCTGGAGGTCAACTCCTGCCCCACCATGAGCCCCTCCTCGGCGGTGACACGCCGGCTGTGCGCCAACGTGCAGCGGGACACGCTGCGCCTGGTGATCGACCGCAAGGACGACCCCTCCTGCTCCATTGGTGCCTTTGAGCTCCTCTACAGGGAGGTAGGCTGGGGGCTGGGGACAGCCACCCCCAGGCACCCGAGCCCCCACTGCCCCTCGTGTCCCCCTGCAGGCAGCCGTGTCCTCGTGTCTGACTGCGGGGCTGAAGCTGATGGTCACAGGCTGTTCCCTGAAGAAGGCCCAGCCAGCAAAGCATCGATCCAAGGACAGGCTCCCCAGCACTGTACCCAGAACTCTCCAGCTGCCTGCACCCTCAGGGGTCAGAGGCACCAAGGTCCCCTGGTCCAGAGCGGCACAGGAAAAGCTGTCTCCCCTGCGGCCGCCCAAGTCTAACCCTGCAGCACTGCCACAGCCCCCGGCCTGCTCTGCTGGGAGCCAGGAGCTGCCATGGCTCCTTCACCTGGTTGGGCAGCCCGAGGAAGCTCAGCCCCTGATCAGTAGTTGTCGCATGGATAGAATGCCAGGGCCACCAAGCCAGGGAGACCCCAGGAGCCCCCGGTGGCCCCCAGGCTACTCTGCTGGAGACCAGGAGCTGCCATGGCTCCTTCACCTGGTGGTCGGGCAGCCCAAGGAAGCTCAACCCCAGACAACTTTGCTGCCGATCACCGGCTGTCCTCTGGATAGGGCACCTGTGCCACTGCCCCGAGGAGCGACCAGGAGTCCCTGGCTGCCTCCGGGCGGTTCTGCCAGGAGCCAGGAGCTGCCATGGCTCCTCCACCTGGCTGGGCAAGCCGAGGACGCTCAGCCTCAGTTGGCTCACACCCAGGGAGCGCAGCCCCTGATCAATAGCCGTCCCCTGGATAGGTTGCCCCCGCCCCAGGAAGCGCCCAGGAGGCCCTGGCGACCCCCAGGGCCCGGGAGCCGTGGATTGGCACAGCTCAGTCGGCCGGGAGGGCAGCCCCAGGCTGCTCGGTCCCGCACAGTTCTGCCCCCGATCAAGGCCCGTCCCCCGGTGCGGGGGCCCGTGCCACAACCCCGCGGAGCGCCCAGCAGACCCTGGCGACCCCCGGGCTGTGCACGGGCCCCTGCAGGAGTTCCTGCCAGGCCAGCGCGCCTGCCGGCGCTGTGACAGAGCACCGCACCCCCAGCCCTGCCGGGAACACAGGACACGCCAGCTCCCAAGGGGTGCAGGGACCTGGGACACAGAGACAGCCCCCAGCGACAGCGCCCTGCCCGTCCTGCGCGGGCTGACACCGCAGCACCCTCTGCCTCCCACGGCAACCAGAGCCCACTGCTGCGCCGCGGTGCCACCTTACCCTGCACGCCTGCTTTAATAGACTTTGGTGAGAAGGAGCCTGCCTTGGACCTTCTGTGCGTGGGAGATGTGGACACAGCTGGGGATGGTGCTGCAGGCAGCACCCGGGGCTGCCAGGGCAGCTGCTCTGCTGGGTACAGACACAGCAGGCAGGAAAAGCTGCTCTGCTCGGCCCGCCTGCGGTGGCCCGTGCCAGGCAGAGCTGTGGCAGCAGTGACAGTGCAGCAGGGCACTGGGAATCGGCCAGGCACGGAGTGCTGGCAGGGCTGGTGCCCCTGGCACGCCAGGGGATGGCAGGAGGGATCCCATCCTGCGGGCGTGCCAGGAAAAGTAGTGGGTGCTTGAGCCTGGCAGCGGGTGGGATTAATGGGCTGGCAAAGGGAAGTCAGGTGTGCTCAGGACATCCCTGTGGGCTCCTGGGGCTGCTCGGATGTACAGGAAAGGAGGGGGGACTGCAGTGGGGCCCTGGGCTGCACCAGCTCCTGCAGGTTCCTTTTGTGACAAGGCTACCCACCTTGCTACAGAATCCCAGACGGGTCAGTTTGGAAGGACCACGGTGGGTCATTGGTGCCACTTCCCTGCTGCAGCAGCGTGATCCCAGAGCACTGGCACAGGATTGTGTCCAGGCATTCATGAGTGTCTGCAGGGAGGGACATTCCTTAGTCTCTCTGGGGCATCTGTTCCAGTGTGTGGAGTGAGTTCTTCCTGACAGCTGGAGCTGGCACTGCCAGGGCAGCTCCCGTGCTGGCAGAGAGCAGACAGGATCTTGTGGCTCCCCAGTGCTTGTGCCCACCAGGCCCTGTGCCTGCTGCTGTCCCTGGGGATGGCTGGGCCAGGCCCTCCAGTGCATGGTACATCAGCTGCAGAAAAAGGCTGGTGCTTCTGGCAGAGTTCTGACGTGGAGACTGAAGCTGGGAGAGTTCTCTGCTGTGAGAGCCAGATCATCAGGCCTCCTCTCTGCAAAAGTTCTTCCTCACTGGGGAACTCGTGCTGCAATAAGGTACAGACAGACCATTTTCTGCTGGCTGCCTTCATCAGGACCACTGTGAACAAGTGGAAGAGAACCTGGATGCAAAGGGAAAATCAAACCTGTCCAGTAGCAGGGGCCATCTCCTGCATCAGTTTGGATCATGTGCCCATGTTGGTGAGTAGCTCCTGAAAAAGTTGTTTGGCAGAACAATAACTGAGGGGGGGACCATCTTCTGTTCCCCTAGAAATCCTTCTGGGCATCACCCTCATGCCATCTCATCCCAGCCAGAAGGGTCTGCAGATTCTCCCAGTCTTCACATGTTGTTCCACACAAAGGAAGGGAGAAGAGCTGACTTGATTGGCATTTTGATATCTACCACTCAGTCAGGAAACCCAGTGCTCAGAAAATGTTTTTGCATGACTGGTAAAGTCATTCAGATGCCAGTGGCCCAGAGGCAGGAGTCGGAGCAAACAGAGGGGCTTGGCTGAGTCAGGATGAATCTTTCAAGACTGTCCTCGAGGGTGGCAGGGAGGATGTATTTAGAGACTTCCCTTGTACATCAGAAGTGGAATAGGAGAGTCTCTTGCATGAAGCAATGACAGCAGCACAGGAAGATTTTAGGTATGTGAGAGCAGGTGTCACAAGGAGAGTCAAAGGATGAAGCTCCAGAACTCAAATGACATCAGCAGAAAAAGGGTGTTGAACAAAGAGCTGGAAGTAAGCTGTGAGAGAGGGAAAGAAACTGTACTAATAGACTGGTTATGGAAAACTGAGTGATCACTGGTGGATGGTTTTAAAGGGGGGCAAGGGATAGTCAGAGAGAGAGACCTGGGTAATGGAGGGGAAAGCTCTGCTCTCCCCAGTGACAGATGCCTCTGGGGAGCTGAATCAGTTGTGTGCCAGAAAATGTACCGAGAACAAGGAAATCTGCAGGTAGGAGTTCAAACAGATTACTGCTGTGACTCAGTCTCTTGAGATGGGAAGCACAAGCAAAAAATAAATCAAAGGGGGAGACCAGTGGGGAGAAGTTAAACAGAGAGCAGCAACAAGAAAAGGCAAGGAAAGATGAACTCTGCAGATGTACACAACCTAAGGCCAGAGGAGTTGTATGCTAGTGCTGTTCACAGTCAGGCTGTCATCCAACCTGAGGCACACTTTGTGATTTGTCTTTGAAGTTCCAACACTTGTGAAGCCTCCAGGGATTGTTTCAATCTAACAGAAGGACCTTGGGCTGGCTGCTCTTGCTGCCTCAGAGTGCTTCATGTCCTGCTGGGTTCGTGCCCACCTGATTCCCTGTTTCACCCATGCCCCACCAGGCAGCCCTCACACATCTCCCCGCACCACAAACAGTGAGTCCCTTTGTGCAGCTCCTGGTTCCCAAGGCTTCCCTGAGCCTCCCTGGAGTTTCCCCAGCCTGCCTCTGCTATGGCTGTTCCAGGAGGAAGATGTGATCACAGTTACCTCGTGCTAGCAAACAGGACACTAAGTCATCGCTCTGATACCACAGCAGCCTCAGTAAAAGGCACAAAATAACATATAATGTAAATGAGAACAATCATTTACATTTGCATTGTTCTCATGTAAATGAGAACAATCCCTCTCACCTCTGTCCTCGGGTTAATCTTACCTGTGTCCTACATCCACTACGTGTATTTTGCCCAATTTATCACATATTTCACTAAGTATGTATTTATGACTGAAATACAAGAACCTGCTTTTTCCTCCCCATTTTAAACACATTTACCATTCTGTTGGGTTTTCCTGAAAGGCAACTTGCAACACAAATACTGTTCTAGTCCCAGTAATCTGTGCTCATACGTTACTGGAAAACAGACACAAATTCCACAAAGTGGAATTCTTGGGCTGCTGTAAGCACAGTGGAGCTAATAAATACATTTACAGCTTAGGACTTTTGAATGGCTCCTGAATAACCCAGCTTTATCAATTGTTTGAGACTGAATCCCAGGAAATTAAATTTAGCATTACTACTGCCACAAATCGCTTGCTATAGCTCCAAGGAACATCTCATTTATAATAACAAATCAGGGAAGACTTTCAGTAAGAGGAATTGTATTGACGTAAATGGGCTGGAGGAAGGAGGATTTCCTCATCCCTAAGTAATGGCTTCACTTCCTGCTCCCAGGATGAACTTGACTGGGGCAAGGCTAAATCATGGTGTGTTGGCATTACAGGCCATGGAGACCTCCTGGAAGCAGGCAGGGGGGAAAAATAAAATAAAGTGGCAGAGTATTTGCTGTGTGTGGTATTACAGAAGGATGGGGTGAATAAATTGTCTCCTACTAGCAGCAGTGCCTGTACCACCCAACAGCTGTTCTGTGGCACAGGGATTGCAGGGAAATCGAACTCGAGCTGCTACAGCTGCTACAGCCTGTGACATGCTGCTCACAGGAGAAACAGAGCCCAGGGACCCCCAAAGGCAGGAGAGCTGTAGAAACACAGAAAACAGTCTATAAACAGGAATCTGTTCGTTTTGTGCAATGCAGCTCCTAGCTGCTGACTAAGGATGCCAGAAGAAGCCTGGCGCATCATAGGGAATTGCTGTTGAGCTGTGCAACCATTACACAGGACAAACAGAAACATTCACAAGAGCCAGAAGTAGCTTCAAATTGCCTGTTAATTCTGGATGCCTGTCAGCAATTGTTATCTGATGGGCCAGAGCGAGCTGGCATCTTCTGCAGAGGAAAAAAAGAAATCAAATCTAACCATTACTTAAAAGAAATAGCTAAAGGATCATTTCATCATGACTTTCATCCCCTTTGCCTTTTAGCCCCCCTTCACAATGGCTGGTTCCTCCTGGCAGCACTCCCCTCCCAGCCTGCTGGAGCCCTTGGCCCTGTTCTTCCCCCCACTGACCCTGTGCCAGCCGAGGGGGTGGCGCTGGTGAAGGGGCAGGGCCCCCTCCCCGCTGGAATTGCCAGCAGCTGGGGCATCCCCTCCCTGAACATTCAGTGCTTTCTCCTTGTCACCGCGTGGCTCTGAAAGCTTTGAAGCTTTCCTGGGTGAGCAGATTTGAATTTATTGGTAAACAAGGAACATCCACCTTCTGACAGTCAAACCTGTGTGCGCTGACAGCACCATCCGCATTTGAAACACTGATTTGCATCTTGGTGTAAATGAGTTTGCTGGGGCCAGGCTTGTGCAGTGTGCTTTCCGTGTGGGGGAAGCTTTACCTGAATGTAAAAATATTCGGTGAAAATGAATTTCAGAGATGCGTGTTGCTCTGCTTACAGAACCCAATTTTAATGTGACCCTTCAGCAGTGACAGCAGGATCTGAAAAATGCTGAAATATGTCATTTTAAATAAAATTTTCGTGGGGTATGTAATCAAAACTTTAAAACTGACTGTTTTCTGTCAGGCTCAAGATAGGGTTATAAATTTAAAAAAAAAAATCAAAAACCCCCAAAAAAGAAACAAACAAAAAACCAAAACCAAAACCAAAAAGAAAACAAACAAATAAAAACTCCTTCATGCTTAATATCTCTGTTCTAACAGACTTTTGAGACTTACATCAATAGTTTTCACTAGAATGAATAACAGCAAATCTGCGGGCTTTGGGCAGTTGTTTCCTTGAGTCTATTGGCATGCTCACCCAGTCGGGGAAGACAAACAATTGCTCATGACAGGTCTGACCCTTCCCCACCAAACGCCTTGGCTGCCCTGCTGCCTGCTTGCAGGGAGGGCTCGCAGGGCTTGGGAGAGGCTGCCTCTCTCCCAACAGTGCCAGAAGAGTGGCTTTGGTGCAAATCCCCACTGAGGAGCTCTTTTTGCTTTGGTCCTGCTGCCGCCTGGGAAGCCTTGGGGTGCATTACACATGTGCTGGGAGCAGGGCAAGGCCAGATCCTTGCTAGACTCCTAGATTTAAAATCCTGCCTGAACCCTCAGAAGAGTTTTCTGAGATGTCATGAACACCATTCAGCCCCCCACACCTCCCAGTTTGTTTATCT